CACTCTGTGGATGGGACTGACCACCAGATGCGAAAGCTGAAACCTTATCCTTGATCAAAATTGAAGACCATCCTGGCTCTTTGATCACGCCTTTTGATTTCATACTCTTCCTTACAATCGCAGCCTCTTTCCACTTCCCTGTGCTTGAATATATATTGGCCAGTGTTACAAGTGCCGTAGAAGAAGTAGGATCCACCTCTAAAATCCTCTCTGCCGCTCTTCTTCCACGTTCAATGTCTCTTTTGGCCGTACACGCTCTTAGAAGCGTGGTCCAGACTACGTCATCCTTCTTACATGGCATCTCATCGATCATCTTCTCTGCTTCACTTAACCGTCCTGCTCGGCATAACAGATCAACCATACAACCATAGTGTTCCTTGGCTGGACTCATGTTATACTTGTCTTGCATCAAGTTGAAATAGTGAAAACCGAGGTCTAGCTGTCCCGAATGAGCGCAGGCATTGAGGACGCTGATGAAAGTTACAGTGTCGGGTCTGAAACCAACCTCTAGACTCTTCTCAAACAGATCAATAGCCTCTTTGCTCTTTCCATGCTCTGCATATCCATTGGTCATAGCTGTCAAAGCAACAATATCAGCTCTTTCTGTTTCTTCAAATACCTTGGAAGCCTCTGTGATACTTCCACATTTTGAGTACATAGTAATCAGCGCACTACGAATCGTGGGGTTCTGTTCTAAACCGAGATGAAGTGCAAGCGCATGAACTTGCCTGCCTTGTTCAAGAACTGCCATGTTGCCTGAAACACTCAGCAGACTAGCAAGAGCAAAATCTGTAGGTTTAGTCCCTGATTGTCTCATCCATGAAAAATACTCAAAACCTTCTTCTACAAAACCGGCTTGAGAGTACCCTCCGATAATCGTGCTCCATGAAATAATATCTCTGGATCCCATTCCACGAAACAGAACAGAAGCAGAGTCTAGCTTCCCACATGATGAATACATCTTCATCATAGAGTTACTAACTGACAAAGAACCTCCTAGCCCTAGAGAGAAAACATTACCGTGCAGCTGCTCTCCCCAAACAAGTCTAGAAAGACTCGCGCAAGCAGCAAACATTGACGCAAACGTTTGTTCATTGGGAGGTACTTGAGAGTTTCTCATCTGTAAGAATGTGTCAACAGCGTTTTCCTCTTGACCTATACGGCTATAAGCAGTGATTAGGCTTGTCCACGAAACCACATCCCTCTCAATCATACTTTCAAACAAACGTAGCCCGTCTTGCATTTCCCCACACTCAGTGTACATTGTGAAGAGCGAGTTAGCCACACAGAGAACGGCACCAAAGCCTTTCACAATCACATGAGTGTGAATCCCCTGTCCGTATTTGAGCTGACGCAAAGCAGCACAAGCCTTCAGGGCAATGGCAAATGTAAAAGTATCAGGTAGTTCTCTGAACCTCGACATCTCTGAAAAGTACAATAACCCTTCCTTGTGACGGCCAGCGTGAACAAGGCCCGTTATGATTGTTGTCCACGTTACTGTATTTCTAAAAGGCATCTCACTGAAAACTCTGCAGCTCTTGTCGATCATTCCAGTTCTCTTGTACAAATCAATTAAAGCACTTCCCACGAAGACAGAGCTAATAAGAGAAGATTTCTCCGCAAAAGCATGTAAAGATTCTCCAAACGTAATGTTGGAACTTTGACCACAGGCCTTGAGTGCAACACTTAGCACGTAGGTATCTGCTGAGACACGAGGATCAAGATGCATTGAAGAGAACAGAACAAGTGCTTCGTTATAGTTTGTTGCAGCTATGTATCCTTGAATGATGGCTGTCCATGAAAAGACATCTCTGTGTGGCATTTTATCGAACACTTTGCGAGCATCTCGCAGATTACCGGAATCGACGAGATTCCGAAGCTGGTAATTCGAATCGAAAGAAACCACATGATTTGGTATACGGGCTTCGTGCAAAAACCTGTCGAACGGTTTCTCAAGCAAAGAAACCGAAGCTGTACAAAACTGTCGGAATCTGCCGCCATTTCTCATAACAGTCTATGTGAGTGTTTTTTTTTTCTTACTCCTGTTGTACAAACATTGACTAGACGACGGTAAAGGCCCGCCACACAGTTTTAATCTATTTCACGAAAACGACACGTCGTACTAATTCACAAGAACAATTACCAAAAGCTGTTGGTTTGAGGATTCAAAGTTTTTTTTTTTATTATTACTAATAAAGCATCACTATTTCTTCTATCGCTAAATAACTTTTCTTGCATCGTACGATTTCGAAAAACAGAGTTTAACTATTACATGAAGACTCTGTTTTGAATGGTTAATTTGGAATATTGTGACCTCCTTTTGTAACTGGTCCCTGGCCTCTTGCTCTCTTCCATCTCTCCACATTGATCATTCTAGCGAAAATTTTGCGTATCAAAGTCAGCTTCCGCGATTGCTGAGCAATAACGTTGACCGTTGAAGAGCTTTCACTGAGTATGATCCCATACCCATCTTGAAAATTATCCATTCCATCGCCCAGAAGTTGCCAGAACAGTCCTCCCGCTGCTGCTCCTCCTCGTTTCGCGGACTCGTATATCTTGCCATACACGGTGTTGAACACAAGGTCTCTTTGCGCGGGAGAATAGCTTGCTTTCTTCATCGATTTACCGAACTCTGCTACGAGTATGGGCTTGCGGAGAACGTTCTGAGCGTCTTGGATGTGTGCGTCCACCCATTTGTTTAAGAACTCCATTTGAAATTGCTCGCTTGCGTCTACAAACCTGCAGACAACAGAAAAAATAATAACAATGAGAGCTTGGAACTTTAAAATTTGCACTAAACAACAAAATCATAGTTAAAGAAGTTGTTTTTCTTTCTAACTGATTTGGTACATTTTTTTTACCATTCGTCGGGGTAAGAGTGAGCCGTGACGAAATCAATGCCTGGGATGCGGTTATTGGCGATGAAATCTGTTCCAAACTGGCCTGGTGGGTTCAGAGTCTTGCTTTGTGGTGAGGACTGACCGTAGAAACCTTCCAAGCCAGCTTCAAGCAGATGGTTGCTGTCTAGTGATTTAACGTGAGCAGCCATTTCAGTAATCCAAGCCTGTTTATTATGACAAAATAATAAAACGAAGTTAGATCCCAAAAGAAGAAAAAAAAAAGACTATACAAGTTATTATAAGTATGAAAAATATGTTAAGGTGAGAACCTGAATGATTCTTCCGGTTGGATCTGAGGGGCAACGAGGCTCGTTCATGAGCTCCCAAGCAATAATGGTCGGGTCATCTTTGTATTGAACTTTGGTAAAAGTATTGAATCTGTTCACCACAGCCTGCAGGAGATTTCAAAACGTTTAGCTGAGAAAACCATCACTTATTTTTTTGCCTCGGGTTGAATTGAATGTGTACGAGTGAGAGAAAGAAACCTTGATATGGTTCTTGTAGAAATCTCTAACAAGAGAGTCTGTGAAGAAGTCGTCTTCGGAAGATACAGGACGGCCTTGGCTTCTAGCCCAATCCACATATTGCTTCTTCCCTCCAAAGCTCACGTAGTTATTTGCAAAACTGAGTATGATCTTTATACCATGCTTTCCTGCTTCAGCTATCGCAAAATCCAAACCCTTTTCACCAGCAAAAAAATATATCAATCTTTAATGACACAAAAGAAAACCTAAATGAGACTAAACAGAGAACCTCAAATTTGCGCAAAGCATTAAAGAGTGAAACTTAAACTGGTCTGATCTTAATAATTATTTGTGTGAGTGTATTTTATCTCTGATCTAAGCACACATGTTCTTAGTTTTAGTGGGGTTACCTGAAACATATCCTCATTGTAAGAGCCAGGGGAATACTGTAGAGGCCTGTAACCGCCGTCACTGAAAGCCCAGGTTCGAGCAACGGTCAGTCCATGGCGAGAGGCCTCTTGGAAGGCGGCAGAGATCTTAGGCCTTTGGGAAGGATCGGAGGCAGTGTACATGAGCCAATAGGCATTGAAGCCATTAGCGTAATAAGGATAGCCATTGAGACTAAACTGAACACCTTTCGTTCTCACGAACCCATCCCTCGAAGAAGCATCAGCTCCTAGCTTCAAGTAGCTTTGTTGGATCACGATCGATAGGGCTATAATCAGACACAAAGGCTTCATTTTCTCTTATTGTGTTCTTTGTGTTGTCTGCTATTCTTTCTCTTACACTCCTCGCTTGTCTTAAAGTGGGTATTTATGGACACAAACTATAACCGCTTTAAGCATTAATCTCTTTTAAGAGGTGTTAATACACGCGTTTCATGTATTGGGATATATGTATGACAGTATGAGTGGTTGATCAAGTATTTCTCAAAATTCAAATTTGTTATACTATAAGGAAAATAATGTGTGACAATCTTAGTATCAGTTAAAAGTAATATTTTAAACATTGGAAAAGGTGTTTTAAATAGGAAGCAAAGCAGGTAATTCCGCTAATTCTGGTCCCAATTAAGGCTAAGAAAATTCGAGTGAGACCCACTTAACACGCAAGCTTAACTGTATTCATGCATCACTACTGCTGCAGCATCGGATCAAGTTGCACGTGGCAGCAGTTTGTAGGCTATTATGGAAGCAACCCACGCGTCTTTCCACTCATGGATAGTATTCATACAGAGCTCTTAACTTTATTTGTTTACTATTATGGGTCGGCAACTCCATATTTTAATTTAAAGCCAAAGATAAAAAGAAACAATAATAAAGAAGCTCATGTGCCGTTGCTGCCCCCTAGATTTTGCAGTTGGGTTGACGACAAACAAAAAGTACATAAAATTTATTGTCCATCAGTAAAATTGTTTCTTATGGCTCACTCTCAGCACTTTAGAAGCCAGAAGAGGCATAGGCGCAATAAGCGGATCTAATTTTCCCCAACTCATCCGGTCACAAATCATGTATGTCCGGTCCTATGTAGTTGGTTGTCTAACCATTAAAAAAATATTGTTCATAAACTTGAACACTGTATTTTTTATCTTTCAAAAATTTTAATATAAATTTTGGCGTTTAAAACTAATGTATTATGAGCTTTAGCCCATGACCATCTAGAAAAGTAAAATTTACCTAGTAGGTTGACAATGTGATTATGAAATGAATACTAGTTAGTTATGTGGAACAAGACAAAAGAAGACTTCTAATTTTCAAAGGGATTGCTGGATTAAGATTGGAAACAAAAGCTAACCTGAGGCTGAGCTGTATCGGTTAAATACAAACAAAACAAAAATGGGGAAAAAGCTGAACTGAGCCCTGCCGTTTGCACTTTCTAAATCTTCTTCATAATTAGCCCATTTGAAGGCGATCCAGATAACGACACACTACTTACTTACATAGCTCTGATCTGCCCTCCATATCCATAGTACTTGAGAAGTCCCTCATCTTGCCTCCAATTCTCTTTCACTTTCACTTCCACCTTCATTCCCCATTTTATATGTAATTAATAATACTCACTGGAAATTTATATATGCAATCAATCATAATACACTATGAATATTTATATGCACCTCAAGGAAAACTTTTTTCTGAAGGAAATCTTCAATGTCAAGTCGAGCAGCCGTTGCTAGAGTTTTCAATGCCTTCCCTTCCTGTAGTACCATATTGAAACCCATTTCAGCAAAATTAGTCAGCTATAAACCCAATTTGCAGTTTCATCTATCGTCTACATTGTAATATGCAAATGTCCACGAAACCTAGCCACATCATTTTATACTGAGGCCCAAAAACAAGGAATACTCAATGCAAATCAGCATTTACCGTTTGGATGTTAAGGGTTGTATGTATACTTACTTTTCCTATAAGGATGATCTTCTGTGAATTTTTATCCACAACTACTTCCACTTGAATAAAATCTTTTGCAGCTGGTCTAGTTTTGTAGCTCAACACGTTCACCTGCCATATCGAAGAGAGAAGAAACCAGTTTTGTAAACATGACTCAAGAGCGAAGAAACCAGGTTTGTAAACTTGCAAGTTTACCTGGCATGAATAAGGAACTTCATTTCGGTACTGCATAAAAATCTTCTCTCTAACGATCTCAGCAACAAAGAATCTCTCAGGGTGCTCACTCACAATATCCTACAAAATCCAATACCCGTAAAACAGTAAGGAAGTAAATTGTTGCATGTGCAAATACAAATAAACCTCACAACATCAAGTAAATAAGTCAATAAGCTCTGCTATACACAGAAAAGGAGAGAGTTTATTTTTCTGCCAAAAATACCTTGGGATAATAAGGTGGGCCAAAGGGAAGTTTGGATAAAATCCAGTCTTTGACATCTTCTATTCCATGTCCGTACTTTGCACTAACAGGTATAACTTCATCAACATCTGTGAATTTTTCATACCACTGCAAGGAGAGTTGCAGCAAATATTAAGCATTACCATGATGGGATTTATTTCCACCACTGCAAGTTCATTATAGCATGGTGGCATTGCAATAACCATTAGCTAAAAAATAAAAAAGAAAGTCTACCTCGAGTTTCTTGGCAATCTCACCAGGTTTAATGAGATCTTTCTTGTTCATAACAAGGAGCATGGGTGGCCTCTTTTGGAGGTCTCCCAAGCCTTCTTTCAAAACTTCGTCTATCTAGCACATAAACACAACAATCCAGAATTATTTAGAGGAGGGAATACTAAACTTTAACTCAACTAAAAATAAAATAAATAAAAAGAGAAGCATATTTACATTAGCAGGGGTTTTACAAGCATCAACAAGAATGACAACGCAATCAGCATTGATGGCAGCATCACGGACATTCTTCATCATCATAGTATCTAACCTGTGCATCTTCTTCTCAATCACACCAGGAGTATCAAAAAGTATCATCTACAACACGAGCTTGCAACTATCAATCCCAGGCAATCATTAGCAGATAATCTGTGAAAAAAGATCAGCAAACCTGATAATCAGGGGTGGAGCAGATACCGAGGATACGATGCCTCGTGGTTTGAGGTTTATCAGTGACAATAGAGATTTTCTGACCAATCATTTGATTAGAAAGCGTGCTTTTGCCCACGTTCGGCATCCCAACCACCGCCACGTATCCTATAATTATATTATACCATCAACACCATTATATCTTCTTAATCTGAAATAATGATGGAGAAAACAAACCACTGCGATGATTGGTATCAGGAGGAGTGTGGCCGAGCTCCTCCATCTCGTAATCGTCGAGCAACGCCATGTTTCTATCCGGTTTCATGCTCAACGAGAGCAGACTCGCCTCGTCACTCATATCCTCTATCTCTTCTTCTCCTACTTGTTCTTGCTCAACCTCCATTTCGTTGAAGCTTCGCTGCCTAATCCATAGCTTCTTCGAGGAGGAGGCGAGTTCCGTCGTCCGAGGACCATAGCTAATAGTGGTACCACTGTTCTGAGCTTGGAGATGCGATTTGATCAACCGCCGCCGATATGGAGAGAGACAGTTCTCAACGACGGAAGTAGAGAAGAGTTTGTAGCGGGAAAGATTAGGTGATATATTCGGGAAGGCCGCCATTGTCGGATTTGTTTTTGAATCGATAGCTTCTCACTGGTTTGTGATTAGCCAAGCAACGAAATGTCATCTTCAAACGACGTCGCCTTACTTTTTATGTATTTCTATTTACACTCCCTAAATATATAATGATATCACGAATTTATGTATCCACTATATTTTGGTGCTCACTAGCCCCCCTTCGCAAGATACTAAACTCTGGCTAGCAAATGCTAAGCCATGAACTAACCAAATTGGTATGTGACCAATAATCCTTTACACTGAGTGATTAATTTTCTCATCATATTCACATTTCTCCAGAAAACTAGGTACAAAAAAATCCATATTCATATTCCTCTATTCACAAAAGTCCTAAACCTTTGCTTCTTCCTCACTCCTAAGAATCTGATTAGGGTGATGGCTGAGGTTGAGATACACTTGTCAATGAGTATGGCCAAGCCAAGACTGCACCACCAAGCGTCATGGTTACTGCAATTGCTCCCCATCTCCATCTCTGCCTCTTCTTTCTCTTCTCCCCCTCTCGCCTTCCACCCTCTGCTCTATCAACAATTTTTTTAAATAATATCAAGACAAAAAAAACAACATGTTCTTGTTTTGGTTTCTCCTTACCTATGGCCTCTTGGTTGCGCTGTGACATTTCCTGGTTTACAGTCTCATAATAGTGAAGGCGGTTAGATAAGTGGGTGATTTCAAACTTCTTTGCTTCGAGCTCAGAAGCCATCTCCATCTCCACCTCTGCTTTGGCCAACTCAATGTCAAGTGAGTCCGAGACAAACCTGGTGAACTCGAGCTGACAACGTAGTTCATCTGCTATGTTCATTATGTACTCGGTGCTGGTAGGATCTAGAGGAACGAATACACCCGCATGGGCCAACTGCTCTCGGAGTCTCCGCCAATGCACTTGCATATGCTCCAGTGTCTCCTCTGCTTGCCTTCTCTTCTCGCTTTCCATCAGCAAACTCAACCTCAGCTCAGCTTCAATGTTGTTGTTAACTGAACTCGGCGTTCCGCTGGCGCTTGATAGTTCTGCATGATACCACGAAAAGAATGCTTTTAAAGTCAGCTTACTGAATGAATATTAAACAGTTGGTAGGAAGCAAAGATGTAGAGAGTTACCATCAGGAGCATCATAAAACTCTACACCAGATGAAGAGAGATTGTGTGAATTTTCAGCTCCTGCGTCATCTGAAACGCTTGTGTAGCAGCTTACTGATTGGCCTCTGTTGTATAAATATTCAGGTTCATCATGATCCTCCTTGTTAGCTTTGGTTCTGACTGATTCCAATAAGTTAGTTTCCCATGCTAGACAATTGGCATCAGAAGTGTGTCTGATCCCACCATTACTGATATGATTTGAAGACCAAAATGTCCCCTGAGGAGGAGTAGAATCCCAAACAGGATGTTTAGTGTCATCCTCTGAAGTAGCCACGCTGATAGGAAACGATAAAGATGTGGAGGATGTACTAGTAGTAGTAGTAGTAACCTCCACATCATCACAAAGGGTTACGGGGTGACAAGGCACATCCAGCACAGAGGATCTCTTCGCTGGTCTGCGTGCTTTGTGGTTAACGATATAGGGAGATGGAGGGGAGGAACACGGGGAATAAGGAAGTGGGATCTCCTTAGGAGTGGCATAGAGAGATGTGAATGTCTTTGCCTTCGGTTGCTGACTTTCACACTTCTTCTCCTCTTCCTTGAGCGTTCCAGCATAAAACCTAGGAGGCATGGTGTTCTGCATCATTCCAGATTCCCAGTTAAATATCAAAACCCTCACCGTTAGTTACATTACATACAACAACGAGAAAACGCAGACCTAAGTACCCACAATCGCGGACTAAGTGAAGAAAGCTAGCTGCACCAACACCTAAACCATCAAATCGGAAGAACACAAGTAAATAGATATATATATATATATATATATATATATATACATATTTTTACAAGGAAAACAACAAACCCTCTTCTCCAAGGCTTTTACCGCAACCAACACCTAAAACCTAAAAAAAAACAAAAAAAACACCTAAAACCTCTTCTCCAAGGCTTTGTGGAATTTTTTTTTATAAATAATGACGTCAGATAACCAGTTGACGCGGCATCTCCTCGTGTACAAACAAAGAAGTCGGTGTAGGCACCAATACGTTAAAACCATCTATGACATTGCCCTTTCCACCTACTTCTAGCCTCCGTAAACCAACAGAAGCAAGCAGAGCCCTAATAGCATTATAGCAAGGATGTTGAAAGCAAAAGGTCAAGCAAGCTTAATACGACAACAATTTATTTTTGAGAAAATGTTACAACTGAAGAGCCAAAGTAGATAGAAGGAAAATTCTTATTACAAATCTTGGTATTCTTTTTTTACTTCTACATATGATAAAAATACATAGAAACAAAAAAAAAAGTCCATGGAACTGTAATTCACATGAGCATGAACATAAACAATATGAATTCTCTCCCCTTATTGAACAATAACTTAATTAAACTGATAAGAAACTAGAAAACCCCAAATAATCACTATACCTTATTATCTCAAGTTTGGTTCGACGATCATTGGTGATTTGACTATTTTATGTTTGTATCGTTAACACTTGATGTTTATATCTCCTAATTTACAAGCTCTTAAAACTTGGAGAAGAAAACCATTGTCCAGTGGATTTTTCCTTAAACGACATACACATGCTAAAAAATCTGGTGGTATGGTGGCACTCCAGATTGGACAACATACTTTCTTCAACTCGTTTTCTTTTGGCAATAGGTTCAGGCAGGTATGAATAGTCTTATAGCAATCAGCCTTGGCCTTGATCGTAGCAGGGAATGATATTAACATCATGACAAAGACGATGCACATCAATGGAACTAACTTCATTTTGGAATTAGTTAGTAAATAATTAGCCTCAAAATAAAATATTTTTGAGAAACTTGAAACAATGTAATTTTAGAGAAAAGTTATATGTTTTGAGGTCTTTAAATAGCAAACTGGAAGGAGTAATAAGTGAAGATATTGAAGGTGGAAATCGAGTTCTAAACATACGTACACTGACTTCTATTTTAATTGTCAATTTTTTTAATTTTTATTGAATCAGTAATTTTCAACGTAAACGTATGACTTTATCAAATGACCGATTCAGTAGGAAGTGGTTATAAATCGACCTCTTAATGTAAAGTTTTTTCCCATGATATATGTATTAATTAATTTGATCGTGAGCAAATTAAAAAGTAAAAAAAATGGAAAATCAAATGTTAATATAAAAAGTTCTGGAAGATGAAAGTATGCTCCTGAAGGAACATGACTTGCTATTCAAACACGGTTGCATTTATACCAATATATGCCTCGTATAAAAATTTCATTATCAATTACTATAGAATTCCTCCGTTTAAAGTAATACAGTATTTTTACTTTCAAGGATGAGCTCCTCCTCCAGTCGCAGCTACTCCGTTTGAATGTCGCGGCTCTCTCTCCCCTTGTCTGTTGCTTGGTTACCGCGGATCTCCGACCAGCTCCGGCAACGGGTCTTTGATTCTGCTCTGATGTCCGTCTCCCCGCCTCTGCCCCCGGCGACGACGAGTAAACCAACTCAGCTCAAACCTTCTCCTTCCTGCCGGCGGTCCTCTCCTCTGTCTATTCTGACCATTGACCTCCCCCTGGAGCCTCCAGATCCACCAGATATGCCGGCTCGAGCTCCTCCCCCACCACCTCTACTGGTCTCTAACGCCTCCCCTGTTCCTCCCCTCGTCACCACTCATCACGGAACGAGCAGGAACGTTGAAGCGGTTTGGTCTTGCATCTCCACAACGCCCCCATCACTCCATGTCTCCTCTGTTCCCTCCCCCTACGCAGGGCCGGCCCGGAGGGCAAGCCACCAAAGCGGCCGCTTAGGGCATAAAATTTTAGAGGGCATATTTTTTTTTAGCTTTTGTATATATTAAGAATTTTGTTTGTATTTATATGTAAATATAATTTAGAGTTCTATTGATAATAATACTATTTGTAAGAGTTTCATCTTTGCTTATAAAACTTTTATTAATAAACATATTGAATAAATATTTTGTTAAATGATAATTATTTTGTAAATATAAAATTTTATACTAAGAAATTATTNCTAAGAAATTATTTTACTAAATTTTTTATTTGACAACACTGATTGTTTAAGATAACATTGACTGATATTGCCATGCAGTTAACTTGATATTATGTTTACCAATTATTATTAGAACTGAATTTGCTTATAATTTTAGTGTTATTTATATTATATATTGATATTATATATAAAACATAGTAAGACATGTTGATATTAGGTTTCAAACATTCTTGGCTTAGATGAGTTGGATTGTGTCTTTAGTGTTTTTTTTTTGTTTGCATTTTATGTGTAATTTTTTGTAATTTAAAACAAACAAAAAAACTTAATTTAGAACACATCAGGATTCTAGAAGGAAAATTTCCACAAATCGACGATTGTTAGTGTACTCAAAACACAGAACAAATAGTCTTACACGCAATGTCAGAAAACAGCCATCGTTTGTCATTCACACGGACGCAAAATTATCATCCTAAGTATGTTTTCGTTTGATGACGAAAAAAAACAAAACTCAAAAATACATAACATGCAAATCTCTTTTAACAAAAGTTTTGCTTGGGGCATCCGAAAATGTTGGACCGGCACTGCCCCTACGTGCCAGATCCAGATCCAGACCCGATTTTCACCCTCCCCTCGGACCTCCTCGCCGTGGGCTCACCGCCTGACCCTCCAGACCCTCCAGACCCACCAGATCTTATCTCTTCTTCATGGCGACTGGTTCTCTCTGCTGCTGCCTCTTCTTCTCTAAGCTCTGGTTGGGTTTCATCCAACTTATTTTCTCTGAGTTTTGAAGAGCTGTTCTACTCCTCCATCATCTCCATCCCTCTAGGTTCCTTTGCTGTTCATTGTTGCTGCTCTGGTGAAATCTCATCTCTGAAGCTTCCATCCAAGATGGCGACAAAGATTGGCGATGGTGGTGGTCTTCATGTGTCCGCTTGTGACACTTATCTCGCCTATGGGCTCCTTTATCCTGTGGTATACAGGTCATCAATCAGGTCATGTTTTGATCTCCCTATCACTCTGTTTTTTAAGGTTCCTCACGGTCAGCTTAGCTCGATAATAACCTTGAATTATGCCATTATAGAATGGGTTAGACAGCTAGTTGTGTGGATGAATTTGGAATTGAGGCTGTGCTCTTTATCCGGTGTTATACCGATGAGCTTTGTTTCTTTGGTCTCTATCTTTGTTTATTTGGTGTTATACCGATCGTCTGCAGTATGCAGAAATTTATATTACTCCATTGCATTGCACCTGATTTGTTTGGGCTCACCAAGTCCGAATCACTCATGCATGGAGCTTATTTTCCGCCTCACTCGCTCACTGATGTTATGTGTTAAGTCTATATGGAGCAGTGTGGTGATGGAAGCGCCCCGTTTCTTCAGTTCGTTCATGAACTCCTATCCGGATACGCAAGATTTGCTTCTCCCCTCCCAGTATCATGACCTCATTGCCTTTGTTGCAGAGTGTCTAGCCTTTATTGGCATATCTAGACTTGTCTGCAAGTCAGACTGTCTTGAACTCAATTGCCTCCTTTCAGAGAGTTGGTCTCTTGATGTTCTTTGGATCTTATTCGCTATTCGATCCCTTATCTTATGTTATGTATTTTCTTATGGTTGTAAGTTGCCTTTTGGCTTTGTATTTCCTCCTGTAATGGAGGTTGAAACTTAAGTTAATGGAAATGTTGTTTGATCAAAAAAAAAAAAGTAATACAGTATTTCCCACTTAATGTTTTCTAAAAACCGATAGTTTTTCGTTTCTTTTCTAGTAATCTCTTTAGAACACCTTTAAAAAGTGCATAAATATGAACGTAAACATTTCGTCTCTCACTATGTAAGTTTGGTGAAAATGCATATATGTTTCATCATGAACGTCTTAACAGTTGAAAAAAAAAAGAATTCAAATATCTCTGACATGCAAAACTCTTGGCTATTATCCAATCTCGAAGCAGTCTTTTTTAGTAGATGTTTTCTTTTCTACAAATCAAACGGTACTGCTCTTGAGTGAACTCTTCTGACCTTGAAGCTCGGCTGTATATCTCTCTCTCCACTCTCTCACCGCTATTCATTGCCTGCAACTTCGGAAGAGTACTAAACGTTCAACATTTGATACTTTTCTTTATATCCTCAAATATCTAATCTAAGTGTAAAAAATACCGGTCTCTGTAGTAGTATCCCGTGCCTTCTTCACCGGTTGTTTTGCAGATTCAGCTGTTCACAAGTGACAAAGTAAATAGAGTTTAGAAACAATTTTAACTTTTAAGACTTCTGTCCATTTTTTTGACCGACTGAATATATTTATTCCCCTTTAGACATTTTACTTGCTTACCTTTGAACTTTCTCTTCTTCTTAGCTCTCCTTCTCTTTCTCTCTTCCTGTGTAAGCTCCGACTCATCCTTAATCTTGCCTGTCCCCGAAAATATTTCCTCTGGAGCAAGCATTGCTGCATCTGACACTGCCACTGGCGCAACCTATACACAGAAGAAGTTGCTAAGTTCAATGGTTCCTCTTATCCCAAAAAGGAAACAATTATAGAAGTACCTCTTCCATTGCTATGGCTGGGACGTTTGTCTGTATAGACATTTCTTCTATTACCTGCAAGTTTGGGAGTTAAGGAAAAAACAGTTTCAGTGACTAGCAAATATGAGTAAACATCGTCACTTAGGTTCTGAACCAAAGAAACATACTGGCTTAGGTGTAAAGTGGAAGTGGGAGAGAGCATCCAACTTCAGACAGAGTTTCTTAAATAGCATGCTTGCCTGATTTAACATTCATAGAAACAAAAAAGAGTGTAATAAATAGACTGAACAATGGAGGTAAACAGGAAAAAGAAAACCAAAAAAACTTCAAATGGGAACCTCTTTCTTTAGTTCATCAGAGAAAGTTGCTGGAGCAAAAGCTGGATTTGATTTCTGAACGTATTCTTCCTGCAATTAGCCGAATGGACCAAATACATTTGTAAGTTTCCTTCTCTCTCAAAAACATTAAAAAAAAATACACACACAACAAAATCTTGTAGATCATACAAACCTCGTAAACTTCAGCAAGACCTTTCTTGCTTTTACTATCGTCCTGCATATCCAAAAGTAAACAAACAGATTATATGGAGGTTCATAAACTGTTAACGAGATCAGAAAAAAAAAAAAAAGAGCATAGTTCAATAAAACTCACCAATTCCTTGGCTTCTCTTTTGGATTTAGTGGGCAGGCTAGGCGCTCGTTGAACATCATCAAAACGGGCCTAAGAAGTCACGAGATCAGTTATGCAAAGTCAAGGAGAAGAAACAAAGAAGAGCTTTGTTACAAACTAGAGCCAAAGGTAATTAATTACCTCAATGATTCTGCTTTTGATCATATCCTCAAGTGAGGCTGTGACCTCTTCTGTAATAACAGGAGGAGGCCTGGCATTGTGCTCAAAATCTAAATCAACTTCTAGAGCACTATTCTTTGGCCTCTTTGTAGCAGTTACCTTTAAACAAGACAAATCATACATAAATTTAGCTACACAAATCAAACGTTACGTGTTTTCAAAGATTAATAGTGGAGTAAAAGATTGGGTGGAGTACCTCTCCCTGCATAGTCCAGTGTTTAGGATCTAAGTTTGCTTTCTCCATCTGTTCAATCTTGGACTGAAGCTTTAGCAATTCTTTCTCATGGGTGGATAGTTTTTCATTGCCCTAAAGGAAGAAGAGTTAGTGAGATCACCAATGAGCAGTGAAGTAAACGCATATCACAATGGTTTTAAGAATAAGTAAAAGCCGATATAATACTTGGTTTCCATCTCCAGCTTCCTCATCATCAATGACATGTTTCATGGTCTTTTTAGTCTCCTTTTTACCACCAAAGAAATCTTCATACCTAATTATAATGGATAAGGAATAAAAAAAAAAAAAAAAAAAAAAAAAAAAAAAAAAAAAAAAANACCTAATTATAAAGGATAAGGAAAAAAAAAAAAAAAAAAAAAAAAAAACTAAGGTAGAAGGACAGTGTAATCACTGAATAAGAGAGAGCATACCTCGCCTTTCCCAAATTGTCGGCGTCTTCGTTGTCATCACCAGCAAAAGCACCAAACTAGAGGACAAGAACAAATCAAATATCTTTTGATAGAAGCAAGGAAAAAAACTAACAAATTTGTAAAACATTCAATCCACTTAATACTCATGTATGTGTTTACCTCCTCATCATCTTCTTCATCATCACCATCTTCTTCGTCTTCATCATATTCATCATCATCATCGCTCAAATTCTGCTTCTTTACCTTCGACAACATAGGTTTATTGTTTCTGGAGTCGATGCCATACTCTAGAGCTTCACCCTCCTCTAAAAAGTTCTCCAAATCTTTGATCTTGAAGAACTTGTCCTCTATTCCTTCATTCTTTTCATCCTCCTCCTCTTCTTCCTCTTCCTCTTCAGCTTCTTCATCCTCCTCTTCCTCTTCTTCTTCACTTTCATCAGCTTCTTCTAGCTCATCATCCTCATCCTCACCCTCATTATCATCATCCACATCCATCTCATCATCGACATCACCCTCACGAGACTCCTCCATGGCCAAATCTCCGAGCCTGCGAATCTCTTTAGGGTTTTTAGCAAACCGCTTAACTTCAAGCCGCAAGCTTGACAACAAAGGCTGAGACTGCATATCAATCTGCTGCCAAATCTGCTCCGCATCGAACCCTTCAACCAAGAGCTCCTCGAAAGGAGATTTAGGGTTGTGAGGCTTCAACTTGGTGAAGAGATACTGAGATGCAACACGAGCCACCGAAGATATCGAGCTTGGCGCTAGAAAAACCGGTGGTTCAGTTGATTTAAGCTTCTCGAGGGCTTCAAAGCCCGAATCCTTTACAGCAGCAGCAGCCATAGAGGTAGCAGCCAAGCTTTAGCAAATCGTTGTTTCCTCTGATTCTCAAGGTATCTGTGGGGTTTAAACGGCTGTTAGGTTTAGGGCCAATGTCAGTGGTATATCTCAAAAGCCCTGAAAATTAAATGTCTCCCGTAAACCTCTCACTCATACAGAGAGTTTTGCCTTATTCTTTGGGCCAGTTTTTGGGCCTTTGGGATTTTGATTGGGCCATTTCTCAACAGAGTTGCAAGAATGTCACTGCTATGTCCCTTTTTGCTAACTTGTGATATCTTCTAAACAAATCATTCAGAGTTCTATTGATGAATATGCTATTGATGGTTAAGTATTAAGCTTCAGTAAAAATCTAGTTATATACTTGTGTTGAAGGAATTTCAATCTCTTTTTGTACCACAAGTGGATTAAACATCATAATATTTTAATGTTGAAATAAGAATATCAGTGTATTATCAGTCTGAGCCTTCATACATGAGGAATCTTCAAAGGGGAGAGGGGGTTGAGCTACAACACATCGGTGATGAATTTTTCAGTGAGTTCTTTAGGAAGTCCCATGACTGTATCAACTCCTCCCACCTACAGCATTACAACGTAAAAAGGCTTTTAAAGGTGTGTAATCTTAAGCAGAAATATGCTGGAAACTAAGCACAACACACGCTAGCTTATTATATGGAAATAGCAGCAGGGCTAACCACGGTATCGATAAAGGGTGCAATGAGGGGATGCTCCAGCATTAAACCTCCAGCAACCTTGAATGTTACCGCATCATCAATCTGAATATTGAAAACACAAGCTGAGTTCACGAGACTGGTTTATAGCAAGGAAAGAAAGAATGAGAGGGGTTTAGAAGATTTACAAGATCGTCTATGACTTTTTCTGGAATCTCATGGAAATAAACCTGCGTCACAAACATACCCACACAAACTGTTAAACCCACACAGATTTGAGTTTCAGAAGAACCAAGAAAAAAAAAACGAGAGCAAATTCGAGGAGAGAGTAAGAGACTGTTTAGTTTTTTTTTCATCGAGCAAAATATGATGGAAAGAGAAGAGGAGAATATGTAGATGTTAAGAAGAGTGAGTGTACCTCAGCTTTGTCCCATCCGATTCTTTGAACACCAGTTTTCAAGTTCCTTACCAAAACAGAGCCCACAACGCCCCCGTGTGAGCCGGAATAGCCTGGTGGCCGGTATCAAAGAAAAATGCTTAAAAATCACATCACAACCTTTCATTTGCAATTACTTACAGAAGATGATGTTAAAAGTCAAAAATATATATATATATATATATATATATATATATAACTTGGACAAAGAGAAAGAAAGAGACCTTTGATAAAGAGGCGAGCTTCATCCTTGGTGGTTGGTTTTTCTCTAATGACACCTTTGTACACAACTACCTAAGATAAATCAGCTTAAGATTAAAACAATACTCACAAGAGAATAATTATAAAAAACTTAAAATCATAAGAAGAAAAAAGATATTAAGCAATACAGTGTCAGCAGTAATCAATAAGGTAGGCTGAGGATCTTGAGCAAACTGGGTAAGACCTCCGAGTTTGGATATAATCTCATCAGCCTTAGCTTGAGTTATAGCCACAACCAAATCTTCAGGTTTGTCTCTCCTTATTGCTTTCTCATCAATGTCTGCTGTCTTCAATACAGAAAATACAAATTCCAATACACTTGAGTCTCCGATTTCAACACTGTCTGAATCAAAACCTACATCCCTATTTTTTTAAACTTAATAGAGAGAAGCAAGTACCACGACAGTGAAATCATAACCCATTTCAGCCAGTATCCTTTTTCTCGCCATCGATTGAGATCCCAGTATCATCTGCTTCGTGTGAACACATATTTTTTGCATAATCAATTAATTTCCATTCGAGAATCAAAAATTAAACTATTAGATATCTACACGAAAAGCAGAGACAGGGAAATACCTTGAATCCTCTCTTCATCGCCATCCTCTCTTCACTCTTTAGCGGAAGAGTGAGTGAACGAACAAGTAAAAGATATCCGGCAAATAAATGTTTGTGTTGTGTTCTCCAACTCTTCTCTCAAGTTGTACAAATGTTTGGACCATTTTTTTACAATTTTATCAAACCCACTTGTGACTATCTTACAAAGGCCCATCTGTTTTAAATCTTAAACATGGGCCATGTGTTTTTGTAAACTATCAAGCCTGTTTACTTACCTATAAACCCTAAACCCTGCTCTTATAAATATTAGCCAGCTACCTTCAAATCTTAAAAATAAGTACAATCTTCTGCATTACGAATCGTATAACCTTTTAGTCTCTGCAATTTTCCTCGTTTTTATCGGCCTTTCTTCCTTTGTCTATTTTGTGTCTTGATCTTGTGCAAGTATATCTTTTTAGATAGGTATGTTATTCTTAGTTCAAATCGGTTTTCGGTAAATCTTTTTAGTATTTTGTTTAGCCGTGAAAGAAAGAAAAATTCTCAGTGATGAAGAAACAATAGATGACGAGTCCGATGAATCCATTCATAAATATCATGTGGACAATCGAGGCATTTGTCTGAGAGGATTGCACCTTTCTTTTTTTTCTAGTTTCACTAAAAAATAAGATTTCTCAGTGATGAACAACCAATAGATGACGAGTCCGATCAATCCATTCTTTAAATCGTGGGGACAATCGAGGCATTTGTCTGAGAGAAATCCTATTTTATTTACTAAAGTTTTGTTTTGTAAGAAGATTCAAGGCATGATGAGGATTGTTTATTGTCATCTGATTCACCATGATGATTCAAAACCTCCTACTCATTCTGAGTGCCTGTTTAAGTTTATGTCATTCATTTCTAAGCAATTGTCTCAGGCATCTCTCGGTTTTCCCCAATACAATTGCCAGCTCTCCCCTATAACCAGCCTTTTGGACAAGTCTTAGTAGTATCTTTCCTTTGGCTTTACCAGAGCCCAATTCATAGCCAATAACATTCAGAGACAAAGGAAACATATGGACAATTGAAGTTGTTAAAAGAACCAGCTCTTAGTAATCTAGTCAACTTATTAGCAAAGTTATAACTTATTAACTAATTAAAGCCTATTCATTAAATTCCAATTCCTGCTTAAATATATGTTTAACTAGTTAAATTAGGTGATTTAGAATAGTGTTTGCCAACTATTTTAATGACAAATGAACTACAACACAATACAGGACATAGAAGCTTCAGTTTAAATAATTTGGTTTGGAAGCTGAACTATGTTAAGATTAAGAGAAATTCTCAAAGAAAATATCACTTACATGTATGCATCAAAATACACAATACAGGCCTATAAACTTTACAGTCATGCATAGAACTTCAAACTATTTTAATGTAGTAGAGGAGGTAAGTTGTAACCATATTGGTTCAAAGTCACTTTTAACAAACAAACTCGGTGGCTTCGTTATATGCTCAGGGCCGTTGCTTGCTTCCTCCTGCACGATCAGAAAGACAGTTAGAGCTCCAGGTTCATCTTACTACGGTACAACTTACAGAGGAGCATGATCATCATATTTGGGTAATTGAAGGGAAACCAACAACCCGCTATAGTACTGGAGATGTTTATACCTACTTGAAAGGGCCTCTTCCCCAAGTTCCTTGGGCGGATGTGGTCTGGATTACTCATGGGATCCCTCGACACAGTTTCTTAATGTGGCTCGTCATTCTGGATCGTTGTCCAACCCGCGATCGCTTGAACCAATGGGGCTTGGACGTTGATCCTCTTTGTCTCCTCTGCAACACCAATATAGAGTCCAGGAACCACTTGTTTTTCGAGTGCCCCTTCAGTACTTCGGTTTGGCAACCGATCTCGAACAGGTGTCAGTTCATTTCAACCATCTCCCTTGAAACCACTGTCCACCAGCTACATCACTCCTCGATAAACAAGGATCTTCGGCGCCTCACTCTTCTTGCACTTCAGGCTACAATCTACTGGATTTGGCACGAAAGGAACACCAGACTCCACCAACAAACATTCAAATCTGCTGAAGTCATCTTCTCCACAATTGATAAGCAGCTCCGCAACCGTATTCAGAGTCTTCGCCACACTAACCCCCGCGCTTCGTCTGCGATGATGCAACTTTGGTTTCTCAGATCATAGTTTCTATCGACATTCTCTCTCTCAACGCAACTACCGTGGGCCTCAACTATATCTCCCGATTATCCGAATTCGTGGGCCTCAACTATCTCAATTGGGCCGGAAAGTTCCACTGATATGTGTTTATTTTAGTAACTGGACCTTGCTCTCCTAAACTAATGCTCTCGAGCATGTAAAACATTTTTTTCTCATGCTTTTAATATGAATGCCTTTTTACAAAAAAAACACAAACAAACTCAATATTTGTCCGTTCAAATTTAATGGTTTACAGTTAAACCTCTATAAATTAATAATGTTGGGACTACACCAAAATTATAATTTTTTTATTAATTTATAGAGATTATTAATTTATCGATATAATAATTGAATCAAAAACTCAATTTGGGACTATAAAATTATATTAATTTATAGAGATTTTTAGTGTATATTAATTTATCGATTATTAATTTATAGAGGTTCTACTGTATTTTACTCTCATCATCGAAGGCCCATTAGCTCAGTTGGTTAGAGCGTCGTGCTAATAACGCGAAGGTCGCAGGTTCGAAACCTGCATGGGCCAGTCTTTTGAAATTTTAGTAACAATTTTTTTTGGCCATATGTACATGTCAGCATCCGACAGTATCATATCTTAGCTTTAAATTTTATCACGTGGCAACAGAAGAAACCAGTCACTACGATTTCAACAATACAAACCAATCAAAATCCTCTCCTTATCCCAATCTTATCTCTCTCTCCTAACCAATACTACTCTTTAGTCTTTACTTTCTCCTCTGCTTCTGATCACAAAAACCATAACCATCTGTGGCCATGGCAGCCTCTCTCCAATCCGCCACCACATTCCTCCAGTCGGCAAAAATCTCCACCGCTCCTTCTCGTGGCAGTGCTCACCTCCGGTCTACTCAGACCGTCGGCAAATCATTCGGGCTAGAAACTTCCTCTGCTCGCCTCACATGTTCCTTCCAATCTGACTTCAAGGACTTTGCCGGTAAATGCTCCGACGCTGTCAAGATCGCAGGATTTGCTCTCGCAACCTCTGCCCTCGTCGTCTCGGTAACCTTCTTTGATCACCTACTCTTTCTTTTAACAACTATAGATTGAAGCAAGAGACCTAACGGAATATTAAAAAAAAAAAACAGAGAATAAACGAGACAGAACAGAATAAAATTATTCTTTCATTACAATGTAATAATGTGTCGTAGACGTAGTCATTACAATGGACTAAATTAAACTGAAAACATAATAGAATGTGGCTATATTTATGATCTTGTTATTACTTGATTCGTATTTGGCTGATGTAAAGCTGTTTGTTTTTTGATGTAATAAAAAGGGAGCAAGTGCAGAAGGAGCTCCGAAGAGACTGACATACGATGAGATACAGAGCAAGACATACATGGAAGTCAAGGGAACTGGAACTGCAAACCAGTGTCCAACTATTGACGGTGGCTCTGAGACTTTCTCCTTCAAACCGGGAAAGTACGCTGGCAAGAAGTTCTGCTTCGAGCCTACTTCCTTCACCGTCAAGGCTGACAGTGTTAGCAAGAACGCTCCTCCTGACTTCCAGAACACCAAGCTCATGACCCGTCTCACCTACACCCTTGACGAAATCGAAGGCCCCTTCGAGGTTTTTATTTGCTTCCACCACAAGAAACAATCTTGTTTAGGCTAGGTTTAGGGTTTGTGCTTGATCGAGTCTTTTTATTGGTTTTTGAGCAGGTTTCTTCAGACGGAAGCGTCAACTTCAAGGAAGAAGACGGCATTGACTATGCTGCAGTCACTGTTCAGCTTCCAGGAGGCGAGCGTGTGCCGTTCCTCTTCACAGTCAAGCAGCTTGACGCCTCAGGCAAACCAGACAACTTCACTGGCAAATTCTTGGTCCCTTCATACCGTGGCTCTTCCTTCTTGGACCCAAAGGGTCGTGGTGGATCCACAGGTTATGACAATGCTGTTGCATTGCCTGCTGGAGGCAGAGGAGACGAAGAGGAGCTTTCAAAGGAGAACGTGAAGAACACGGCAGCTTCGGTGGGAGAGATCACTTTGAAAGTGACCAAGAGCAAACCTGAGACAGGAGAAGTGATCGGAGTGTTCGAGAGTATTCAGCCCTCGGATACTGACTTGGGTGCCAAGGTACCAAAGGATGTGAAGATCCAAGGGGTTTGGTATGGTCAACTTGAGTGATCATGTTATCTATATATCAAAACATCTTCTCTTAATTGTATTCGATGATAATGAGAACATCTTTTGATGCTTTCTTCGTTTTTTCTCTCTTATGAAAATGCACATTCCCCCTAAAACTTGATTTCTTATATCCATGTTTTTTTTATGCAAAACAGGAAGAGAGAATATTATTATAGCAAAATGTATGGTACCAAATTTCATCGTATGGTCTACTGATAAAAGAACTTGTGCAGCTTATGAGTTATGTACATGTTTAGCCTCTCATTGACCCGGCGCCTTGCGAACCGGCCTTTTGTAAATAAATTGGTAATTTGATATTCTGTTTTCAATATAGTTTAAACTATAAGTTAACAATAAATTCACGTTGATAATTAATGAAATGTACAAATGACTGAAATAGCTGGTTTGTATGGTAGTCTTGTGGTATATTCAAATGAAATTAGTTAGAATAGACTGGCGAGTAGCAAGTTGAAATAATATATTTCATTAATTTTGCAAGTAATTTAGTCTAATCAGCTTGCTCCTAATGGACCTTACCCTGTATTTAATGTGCATGGGTTGTGAATATTAAACAAAACACTGGTTAACTTATAAATAAAACATATTGTGTCTGTGCTTGGTCTTAGATCTCGTGACATGAAAGAACACAGACAATTGCATTAGCGTGGGACAGCACATAACAATGCAGATCGCAGACAGATTCTCTCTTAAGTTTTAAACTTCTGGAATTAGTGTATAATTTACTAAGATTGATTAATTTTCGTGGAGACAGAATTCTATTTTAATTCCTAGCTAGAGAGGTCGGATTCGTATGAAAGTATAGTACAAGTCTTTGCATTCATCAGTAGCCAAAAAAGTTTCCAAGATACTCTTACAGTAGATTCTACAAGCGTGTGTGTTGATATCATCTAATCACATGTTCTATATCCAAGATCATCTTGTTTTGAAGAATGTTAAGTTTCATCTTACGGATAATCTACCAATACACTAAAAATAAAACTTAAAATAAAGAGAGTAATAAGACAAACTTAAATCGCGACAAAAGCATGCATCGTGCTGAAAATGGAACTACGTAAGCAAAATTGTAATATTGTCCAATTTCACCTCATGTAATTACTATTGTTGGCCTTACATATGAATGTCAGCACTGTGGGAGATCAGTATCCACTAGATCTGCAAACCATTAGTTTATTATCAAATAAAAGTGACTATTGGGACAAGTTAAACATATACATCACCCAAAAGATCGATTTATAAAATAAAAATTGACATCCGCTGATTTGATTTTAGTGGAGACGTGGATGCTTTCAGTCCCACACAAGCACAGGGAAAATTATTTTATGTGCATGTAAATAGCAAGTTTGAGCTGTTTATATATAGAAAGTAATAGAATGGTAGGGCAATTAGATATTTATCTTCTGTTTTTGAACCATAGGATATTAGTATACGCCAATGAAGTGATTACTTTTGATAAAGGATCCACTGAATAAATATCTACAACCAAAAGTAATGAATGGAACCTTTAATATTTTGTTAAATGGACTTAATCATAGAAAGAGAGATACTCTTCACCAAATCAATATGAACAAAATCATTAAAGCATACATATAATATCGCAAATACAATACAGAATTTGTAAATAATTCTATACAACTTTTGCATACCGTCCAACATAAGAAAATAGCACTTGACATCAATAATTTCAAGGTTCTCATTAAGGCCACGTTCATGCAAAATAAAAAGTAGTAATAAAGAAAGAAAGAGAGAGTAATAAATAAACAAACAAATACACCATTAGAATATCACGGTAGGTGACGCTTGTATCTACTAAAAGGACCCAAAAGAATCTAATAGGACCCGGAACACTTGATGGACCCCACTTTCACATGCAAGTCAGTCCATATTGTCTTCACGTGAGATCTAACCCACCGGAGTTACGAAACCTCCCGGCCATCTCGATCTTGTCTGCTTGCCGGTGATGCCTAAGTTGGTCACGTGGCCCGCTCCTCCTTCACCACCTAAGCTCCTTCCTCTCGCATTCTTCGCCACGTTACTCTCTCCTTCTTTCCCGATATACCCCTTTACGTGAGGCCCATTCAGCAAACAATAATCAAAAACATGAGCTGTTATGTTTCTTTGTTATCACTACACGACAAGTCCTACGTGGATTTTAGATTCTCGAGGCTAGTTGTCTTCTTCTTCCTCTATTTCCATATATATAAACTCATCTCAAGGTCGTCTCTTTCAATTCACAACACAAACACAACATCAAGATCAAGTGTTAACTCATACACACAGTTACATTCCTTTTCCAAAAAAAAAAATCATTACATAAGTAAAAATGGGAGCTTGTGTTTCACGTGAATCAATGAGAGGAGATTCAGCAAAGGTTATACTGTTCGACGGGACTTTACAAGAGTTCTCATCTCCGGTCAAAGTTTGGCAGATCTTGCAGAAATATCCAACGAGTTTCGTCTGTAACTCAGACGAAATGGACTTCGACGACACCGTTTCAGCTGTCTCCGGCAACGAGGAGCTCCGATCAGGACAGCTTTACTTCGTTTTACCTCTGACGTGGCTCAACCATCCTCTGAGGGCGGAGGAAATGGCAGCGTTGGCTGTTAAAGCGAGCTCGGCGTTGGCCAAGAGCGGTGGAGTCGGGTGGGTTTCCGGCGACAGAGATGACTCTGTTTCCGGTAAAGTTAACCAACAGAAAAACACAACCGGAGTGAAGACAAATGCCGGTGGTGGAAGATGTTATGGTGGCAAAGGGAAGAGGAGATTTACAAGGAATCTGAGTACCATCGCTGAGTAGGAATCCTATTAGTCTCATTTTGAGAGTCTCCGACGTAAAAAAAAATTGTAATTAGAGATGTTTGACTTTTTTATTAATGGAGAAACCCAAAATTATCAATTAGATTTGGATTTTTCGTTTTCTTTTTGTTGCTTTATCAATGATAATGCAACTTTCGGTAGATTTAATTGATTTTCTCACACGTAATCAAACAAGTTTTGTGAATCATCCGTCTAGTTTCTTTCTAACCGGAAAATCAGCCCGTGTTGGTTATACCTAGATTTCGTAAAATTTATTCAGACCGAACCAACCGCAGTTGAATTTGAGATCATTTTGAACAACAAAACTGCGTCATTGGAAAATTAAATCTTTCACTGAACCTTTTGTTTGTTTCTTGAATGGAAAAGATAAGGATTAACTTTTATGATATTTTTTTTAATGGAAGTTGTGGTCCATTTCTAATTCCCCTCTGCAACTTTTTTGTTACAAATGTTTCTTAGAAATTGTGCATTTATGACTGACTATAAGCTATTCTATGTT